TGCTGCAGCCGGGAAGGGGGAGGCAAAGCAGCCACTCTGGGTGCTCCATGGGGCGGGAGGGAAGGGAGACGGCCCCAGCGTCCCGCAGGCTTTTGGGGTGACCGGTGCCACCGCTGTCACCCCCAAGCAGCAGGAAGGACAAAGGTCCCCGTGCCCAGGGAGAGCCCTCCCTTCCCCGGGCACCGTCTCCGCAGCCCAGGGGTTATCGGATGCCCTGTGGCATCCACTTAATCATCCTTGCCAGGGCTCTCCGGCCGCCCTGGTAATGTTTGCCACCGGGATCTGCTCGTAATGGAGCTGAGCTGATTTCATCTGGGTAATGAGGCTGCACAGGCCGGGCCCTGGCAGCTCCTTGGCCACTGCCAAGGGACTTGGGGGGCCGAGGGGCGCAGGGGACACCGAGCTGGGCTCTGGGGTGGCCCCAGCAGCAGGAAACCGGGGCCGTCTCCAGCACCCGGCTTGTAGCCCAGCCCTGTTATTACTGGTCCCCCAGCCTGGAGAGGGGACAACCAGGAAAAGGGGGGACAGCAAAGGGAACTGGGGCTCCCCACAGCCCTGTCCATGTCCAGGGCTGCAGCGTGTGGGTGCAGGGGGGCTCCAGAGCCGCTTGGCCCGGCTGGGCCAGCAACCCCTTTCCTTGGGCACCCTCTAATTGCCGCCTGCGCTGATTTATGGTCCTTCCCTTCTTATCTAATTTGAGGAAGGAACAAGATTACAACTTTGAGCTTTGCCAGCGCCGCGCTCTAAATTGCCTCTTCGGTCAATACTGCTCCCTGCGGCCGGGAAGCTGTGGCCGGGCCAGGGAGCCAGGTGGCAACAGGGCCCCGGGGAGGTGGCCCATGGAGCCAGGGGCTTCCCGGGGGGCGAGGGTGGCCATGGAGCCCCTGTAGGGCTTGAAGCAGCCGGGCGCCCACACGGGACACCGGAGCCGGCCGTGACTCGGTCCCCTCCATGGGGGACATGCCAGCTCCGCGCGGGGACAGGAGGGTTAAGCGCAGGGGCTCCCTTCCCGCCCGCTCCCCGCCGGTGCTCAGCCCTGATCGATTTTTATCCCCACCCGGCAGTTTCTCCATTTCACCCGCTCCGGCGGGAGCCGTAATGGACTCTGGCAATGAGGTAATTAACGGCTCTGCTCCCTGGAAAAGTTGCCTGGGGCCGCAGAGGCACCAGGAGGGCCGGGCTGGGGAGAGGCCCCCACTAATGAGGGTTAACGAGGGGTTTGGGCCTGATGGTCCCCCCGGCCTCTCTGGGTCTTGTCCAAGGCCAGGAGCATCCCAGGGATGGGAAGGATCCCCAGGAAGGAGGGATCCCCCTGACTCCGTGCCCAGGGTCTGGGTCCTGCCAGCACCCCAGGGTGTCCTGCAAGCCATGATTTGGGCCATGGCACCCTGGATTTGGGGCTTTTTTACTGAAAACCGCAACTCTTCTGCAGGGGATACCGGTACAAACCCGGCACTGGGCATCCCGATGCGGGGAACTCAATGCTGGCCAGATCCCGAGCAGCCCCCCTGGCCCCCACTGCAGCCCCGAGGGCCTCAGTGGGGCTGCAAAGGCATCTCCGCACTAACAAGTGTCCCCGAGCAATATTTCCCATTAGCTCTGGAGATGCCTCCTCCAGGGCAGAGGCCGGGCCCAGCCCCAGCGAGGCCTCGGTGCCCAGCTCCGCACCGTGGGGCTCCGGGAAGAGCCGTTCCGAGGCGCTCGGGGCAGATCCCAGGCTGCGGGTGGGCTTGCCCCTAATGGAGCAGGGGGCGAGGGAGGGCTGCTGAGCCACGCTGGGACGTGAAAATCGTTATGAGTGATTAGAGCTATTAGTGTAACGAGGAGAGGCAATTAACGGCGCCTTGACATCGCTTGAGGCCGGCTAATGTACACGCTCGCTGGGACCGTGGGGCAGCTGCGTATGGGGAGCGGAGGGGGGGACGTGGCCGTGTTGAGCTGCCGGGATCCCGGGTGCAGGGGCCGTTTGTGGCTGGGATTCCCAGGATGGAGGGCTGTTATGTGGCCGAGGATCCATGGACAGGGAGCCTGCGCTGGGGAGCAACACGTGCCAAGGATCTGGGGCTGGAGGGGCAACGCGTCCGCAGGGATTCTGGGATGGTGCCTGTCCAGGGATGCGGGCTTGCAGGGGGTGTGTGCCAAGGGATCCGGGATGGAGGATGCTCCCGGCTCCGGGCAGGGGGTACCCCCGGTGCGGGGCGATGCCCGGTCCTGCTCCGCGCCGCCGCCAGATGCTGCTGTTCGGCCGCGGAGCCCCGCGCGGCGCCGCCT